CTTCATCGATGCTTTTTATTTGCCCCGCTTCAACAACTGGTGACGAACCAGCTGGCGGTGCTCTTAACCCAGCCTCCCTTGATCCGCAGCGAAAAAGGACACTGCTTCCTCAACATTGTACTATATCTTTCAGAACTGCGGCACCGGTTACTGTGAAAATCGTGGAGGTCGAAAGACATGTGTGTGCTCTCGATGCGCTAACGGTGGCAACGTACCTCTTGAGGAGCTGATCAATAGGAGAGGAAGAAAATGACTTTCATTTCATGTTCATAATCGTGTAAATTTTGTGCAGCGATCATTGTTCCACAAAAGAGTTGTATTGGTGATAACAAAACTCGAAAAACTGTCGTTGAGCAAAAAAAAAGGGGGGGGGGAGAGAGAGAGGGAGGAGGAACACACTGTAGCCCCTCGGAAAGACTACGTCAATGATAGAATCAAAGCTGTTTGGCTCAGAGGGGGAGCAAGTACTTGGCACTTTATCTAGTTTCTTCTGCTAGTTTCCGTCAACTAACAACTTGTTAAGCTGCAAAATGGCACAAGCGAGCCACTTCAGTGACAGGAATTCGCAGGTCTTCACAACATTACTGTAAAAGATGAGTACCATTAGATGCCCCCATCAAGCCAATTCGCGCCTTATCTTTGCTCTTATACTAATGCACAACAGAATATCAGTGATCAATTTTTACATCTTCATACTGTACGTTACAGTTTAGGCTTTATCCTTGATTGCTCGTTCGACGAGAGCAGCAGCTCGAATAGCAGTCCCCCAACCGACGGTAAAACCATGACCACCATGTCCATAATGATGAACTAACTGCATACAAAAGAATTATGTGGAAAAGTATCCAAAAATTAAACTACATCTTACAAATCACCTACCGTATATTTCTTTCCAGTTTTCGTTACCTTCTTTTGACTTTCCACTCGTATACCTGCCCTAGCTGGTCGTAGAACCACACCATTCACTCAAGATTTTCGCTCCCTGAACGCTACAAGTAGATGTAGAACTTGGAAGGGATTCATAGGCTCAAAAGGAAATGCGCTCTCTACCCTTAACCCTTAACCCACGAGAGGTAGCGATATGGACACAAGATGACGTAGTGCTAAGAAGATATCTCGCCTAGCACTGGGTTTTGAGAGGAATCTTCCCAGCTGCGTTCGTGTGTGGCACACCTGCTGCTGGCCTTCGGGGAGAGCATAGAAAATAGGGGTTGTAGAAAGAGGGTTATTCGCGAGGGAAGTGCAACATACGACCCCATTTTTAGAGGCCTGAGCGTGAGACGAGCCGTACCCACCTAGGGGAATAGTCAAAGTGGTGATCAAAAGGGTCTCAGACTTGGAACACCTTCACGTCTGCGCTTCCCCAACGAGATTATGTTTGGTGGGCTGGGTTGAAGCAGAGTATTGCTGTGGCCTGGTCTCGACTACACTCTCGCCTAGGCAGAGATGGAACCTTACTTCCAGTTGAGGGTGGAGAAATATGCACTGCAAAGGGGTGGCACAGCACTTGTACGTCAGCGTTCCGACTTCGCAATGACGCGCGTCAACTTCCGTCATCGCGAAGTGTGAACGCTTGCTATCAGAGGTCCACTCTGTGCGCTAGTGCGCGCGATGTAACGACTTCGAAATAAAAAAATCGTAGCATCCGAAGAATCCAAAGAAGACTTGAATGGAAGGAAACATTACAGTACTTTCATTGCTGGTTGCAGTTTCTCGTAGCGTTCCCATATGTCACGTCGATCTTCATCAGTCACCTTGTCATCGTACCGATTCGCTTGCTTCACCGATCCAACAACAACACAATTATTCCTGAAAACTAATCCATATATTCACATTTTCAGAAATATCTCCCAGTGTTTGTGGAATGATGCTTGGACGATGCTAATTTTGTCGGCGATACCTATCATGTACACAATCCAGGCTCAAATCCCAGATCTAATCTGCAAAGACTGAGAAAACACCCCATTTCTCCGAAATTAATCACTTGGCGCAGATTTTCATGAGTTTCACGGTCTTTTTCGCTGCGAATGATGGGGCGTATCAGGCGGGACGAGTTTGGCGAGGCGCCAGACGGTTTCTCTTTCTTTTTTTTTCTTCAGCAAACGACAAGACTGTTTCATATCGTTCGTATCAGTCATTTTTCACAAATGATGTCGCTTATCCGCTCTAACAGCAGGTTTAGAGGTGCCACGGCCGAACCCAGCCCAACTGACACGCCATATTATGCGCAGCGAACAAGACTGTAAAACAGTGAACACTAGCTGGCTTTCGCAGGACACTGTCTTGCCCAATCGCACTCTAAATGCCACTTCGATTGCGAATCGAGGAAGACGATCAACCATGGGCGACCATGGACGTGAGAAGGATGTTTGATGGATAAGCCCTGCATTCGGACACTACAAAAAGAGGGGGGAGGGTCCAAAAAGAAGACACTTTTCTCCCTCGACTTTCAAGGCGATAGAAGTTAAAATTTATTAAATTTTGACTGACATTTTCACCACATCAAATTGAACAACACGTACACCATTAGCCAGAGTTCAGCGAGGTCGTTGAGTTCTCCGCCACTGTATACCACCCATATGAGCTCCTTCCCGAACCCGGTAATCGGGAGGGGCGGGTGGGAGGGGGTGGAATCCATGTGACACACTTGGATATTCCGTCTCCTTCAAGTTCTCAACACCCTTCGATTCTATGTAAGCTAGAGTTTTCCAGCGCCCTTCGATTCCTTGTAGTGGCACCCAATCCTATAGCAGCAACGAAGTTTCCAGGAGGTAGAGGCGACGACATAAGGCAGGATATCCTCCTCGAACTGTTCAATGTAACCGTCATTCACTTTCAGTACGGATCCCACGAAGAAATAACGATCTTCCCATTTCAGGAACTTCCGGTCCACATCATCAACCCGCGCTTTGGCGATAAGATGATATCCTGGACCGTAGCGACGTTGTGCTTTCAGTTCGAGGTTTTTCAGATCAAGAGTGCTGGTCCTCAGGTAGCTATCCATGGGTGACTCCATACCAGAAGTTCCGCAGCTGTTTGGAGGTGACGTGAATTCCGAAGGACCTTCTTCCAGTCCGTGACTGCGACTTGAAGATATGGCTTCATATTTTTGGTGCACGATGAAGGTGATTAATGTGAGATTCTGCTTGCTGCTCATCGAAGGAAACACTTGCATCCTTATTTCGGCTCGCGTGGCGTGGAGCCAAGCCGAGTACCAGGGTGGAGGGGGCTCGCATGGAAGGGAAGCCTACCGTTATGCGCGTCCCCTCTCGTTATATCCCTCTTCAGAATGGGGAGAATGGAGGACGGGAGATACCAATGATGACTGGCCCAACGGTGTGCGGCCTCCGCCTGCAGTATACAGGATGATCATGGACACAAGCGCTTCAATTTTGGTTATATTATTACCTAGTCGATCGCCACCGGCTGCTCGCGGGCGTCCTCTTCTGTGACATTTGGCCGGCTTCGCGGGCCATGCCGGATTTGCTGCGTCGCTACAGTTAAAAGACAGCGCCCGCAATGGACTGGTGGCCGGTTCAGGGCCTGTCCGCATTGCTAGAACAGGTGGCCAATGAAGCACTAATCAAAAAAGCAGGAAAAAGGTGTGGAAGAGCGTGAAATAAGACCCTATGAAATTTAAGGCATGTGGACGAGTTTCGCAAACTTCTGGTGAGTTCTCCAATACACGTGCGCCCGCCTCGGAACTCTAGAAATTCAGCGTATATCAATGCCAGCAAGCACTGACAACTGTTAACCAGTCGGGGCGGGATTAACAGGAAAGGAGGCGTCAGCTCAGCCTTGTTGACTCCGCCCTCGTCAACCAATCGATTTCGAGCCGCAACAAGAGTGGCGATTTCTGCTGTCGATTGGCGGCTCCGCGTGCGTTTCCACTGGGGATTTTTTCATCTTTCGATTGTCGTCGGACGATTTGCCGAGTTAAGGATCGTTGACCAACCACACTGTTCAAAGGAATCTTCTGCATCAGCCAAGAACTGAAAAGCAGCGCTTGTTCCGTCAAGGCGCAGAAGCAGCAGCAGCGCCCCCCCGCATCACAGAAGGAGGAAAGCCGGCCTTAGCCAGCGATCCGACTGGTACGTTCATAACCTACACGGAAATAGTGCAGCCTGTTTGGACAGCCACTGAAGCAGCCTATAATTTATGCAATCTGTCTTCCTAAAAGCGTCTTGCTTTGGAATGCACTACCGCATTCAGCAGTGGAACCCTTTAAATGGCCCTCACTGAAGTTGCTGATGGAAGATAATTGTGGTAAGAGTGATAAAGTCAGTTGCTGCTGTTCATAACATCTCTGTAAACAAACCACATGCATTTGGAATAGAGCTGGCTTAGCGGTCGTACACGATGTCGTTACTAATAAGCAGTGAGGAATGAGTTCTGTTGGAATCACTGAGATCGTTATACTTGAGTCATATCGATCGCATTGTTGTTGTGAGCGGTGAAGCGGATTTTCCCATGCTACCTTGTCAATTTTAGCTCCTATCACTTCCGTACCCGCCAATAACACTCCCGTCCCGTATCACTATCATATCACCCTGTATCGCCTCTCGGATCAGAGGTCCCACTGTTGCTGTAACCTGCGTAATCTGATGACCCTCCCCTTCCGAGGCCGCTTACCGTATCTTATCAACTGTTATCACTTTCTGTCGCCCGCCAATAATGTTCCCGTCCTCACACCTCCTACACCCTATATCACCTCACGGATCTGAGTTCCCACTGTTGCTGTAACTGCGCCACGAATTTGATGACCCTCCCTTTTGAGGCCCCTTATCGAATCTTATCAAGTGTTATCACCTCCTGTCACCCACAAAAGTGTTCCCGTCCTGCCATGTATATCACTTCTTGAAATTCACGGTCCCGCAGCTGCTGCAACTTGCGCTAGATGTTGGTCACCCCCCCCTTCTAAGGCCCCTTATCGAATCTTATCAAGTGTTATCACCTCCTGTCACCCACAAAGTGTTCCCGTCCTGCCATGTATATCACTTCTTGAAATCACGGTCCCACACCTGCTGCAACTTGCGCTACGAATTCAGCTTAGCCCTCCCTTCTACGGCCCCTTATCGTATCTTATCAAGTGTTATCACCTCCTGACACCCACCAAAAGTGTTCCCGTCCTGCCATGTATATCACTTCTTGGAACTGTCATCCTATCTTTTCTGCGACGCTCGCTATGAATTTCGTGACACACACACACACACACACAACACAGACACTAACACAAGACACACATAGCGGATATCTATATAGTAGGATATTTGTTATTTGAATATTCCAAGGAATAGAACGAACTTACTTTGGAATAGTGAACGTGGAGAAGTCACGGTAGTTGAAGTGTTTGTGCCAAGGGGCTTCGACCTGAAAACGAAAAAAATGAAACTAGGCCTCGACCGCTTAAATTTTCCATTGCTTAGGTTTAGATCGGAAACTAGGCTACTTCCTTGGAATCAATAAATCCAAAAATTCAATATTGAAAATTATACCACACTTTTATATACTGATGTTTCATGATAATAAGTAAAAACAATTATATCACATTTAAATCACATTAGATACCAAAAACAGTGCAACAGTGGCCAATCAGGGTATGGGTAAGGTGTTCCCAGTTTTGGCGATACGGCGAAAGTTCATCACTATGCGGCATTCGCATGCGGCGACTAATGGTTGACTCAACGTACTGCGGTGAGGCGAGTTAAGTCGTTTTCGCTGGCATACCCAGGGGTGTGGCTGGAGACTGGTTTGATGAGGCGGCAGTTCTTCTACCAGACTGTTAGGGCGGACATGCGACACGATCCTGGATAACAGGCTGGCGCCGCGCGAAGCCCAGCCTCCTGAGACGCCCAGCGTATAAACGGCAAGAAATGTGGAGCATGGTGAGATATTGTCTGCGCATCGGCACAACTCAGATCTTGCCCCGCACCCAGCTAACCCGCTCTACGCGGCTGCAATGGCTGACAATTAAGCGATCTACTCTACGGTGGCCGCAAGGTTTCATGCAAGCCCTAAACAAACTAGTCTCTATCGATGCGTATCCTGCGACAGACGCATAGACGGAGCGATGCGAGGCTCACCGCTCCGCACCCGCACGCCTCACAACCAGATATTGTGTCTTGCCTTACCAGGTTGTGCATACCTCGAATGCAACGCCTCGTATTGGATATACACCGTTGTCGTCGCCAGCCAATGTTCCTGCATTCAATCCTGCACAGTTGACAATGACACCAAAGCCTTCTTCGGCTAACTGAAAAAGTTTCGTGACATTTGTGACAATTATTATTCTGGCGCTGTTCGGCTTAGAGAAGCATTTTGCGCTATCGCTAGTTGCTCTTGTTAGTTAATGCTGAATAACAGGTCGCACTTCGGTGAGGCCTGTAAACTTCTGTGAAGTTGCGTGACGGTGAAATGATCCGCTTTGGTCAAAGGAATTCGTGGGCCTTCACAAGTTGGCCTGTACAATCGTAGGTAAGTATGGTGTAGTTCGCTGCGGACGGTTGGGCGTGTCAGGCGGGATGAGTTTGGCGCGGTGCCAAACCCGTTTCCACCAGTTGTTAAGAGAGCAAATGACAAACTGTATCATATCGTTCGTATTACTTGTTTTCTACCACTGGTTGTCGCATGAGCACTTCAACAAGAAGGCAGAGAACGGCTTCGACGGTGTGAACACTCATACTGACACGCCCAGCCGTCCGAAGCGAACTAGAGTGTACTATTGCCCCCACCAAGCTTAAATGCGCCTTAATTCCTTTTTTACTCGGTCCAGATGCACCCTGGTCTTCTTGCTGATATTCAAAGATCACCGGCCATCTCTCATGCTTCCTTGCGGGACACTCCAAAACCCTTGAATACTTATCCGAATGAT